ACTACTACTACTACCATTTTTACAGCTACACACCACTACTACCACTATTTATTACCACCACCACCACCACTACTACTACTACTACTACTACTACTACTACTACTACTACTACTACTACTACTACTACTACTATTACTACTACTGCTGCTTTTTTTACGTGGCCTCCAGCCTCCCCCAATAGCCACACCTTCGCTGCCATTTTATTACCTAAAAATTAAATATCCTATTACAAAAGTAGCTATCCTAGCTGTGTTGAGTTAGTTAAGCCGCAGATCTATGCGGCATTCAGTGACTGTCGCCTCATAGTCAATATCTGCACCGTTGTCGGCTTTAGGGCAGACGATCTCGTTCCCCTGAGGCAAAGATTTCAGATTTGCCCCCGAGGGGGCTAGTTTATTGGGCACCCCCTTACATCCTGTGCAAGGTGAAGCGCAGAAGCGTTTACAGCGCCCAACAGGGAAGTATGAAAAGTTCATACTTGCCTTTATGACTCGTACATTAAGGGCGTAAAAGCCTGAAGGGTCATAGGTTTTGTCAAGTTACATAAAGTGAGAGAATGATGAGTGTGTGGGGGGAAAGTTCCCGGTACATTTTATCTGTTTATGGCAAAGAGTGGCAGGTCCCTAATAATGTCAAATGCCAGGCCTGTGACTAGGAGGAGGGATATCTGGTCTGGGAGGGAAGAGGTGTTGGTAACGGCTGGGGACCTATAGGAGGAGGTCATAGGGCAAGTGAGGATGTAGTGAGAGAGGGTGTGAGAGTCGGGTTGGCCACAAAGTTTACAAACAGTCCCTGAGGCAAAGCAGTGCGGACCTAAGTAGAGAGGACAGTCGACATCTCAACCAGGCTGTAAGGTAGTTTCTGGGCTGCTGCTTCTGCTCAGACAACACCTACGCCATTCTTGCATAGAGGCGTTTTGCACGTGGTCCCATCCCTCCAGAGGTTGTGAACACCATTGGAGTGAAGCTGCCCTGATCCGTATTTTGAAATCTCTCGCCATACGCTCTATTCTTGTCGTTCTCATTCCTCTTGTGTGCAGCCTCAAGAGACAAGTTACGGTGACATGCGGTCATGGGGTCGAATATCCTGACATCGAAGAAGCTCGCTGTCCCTCTGTCCAGAATCCTCAAGCGCTGATGTCCACACAGGCTTCGTTAGATGTGTTGGAAGTCCTGTGAAGGAGGTTCTCACCGTCCAATAGAAGGAGGGTCGGTTCCACCGTGACGTCGTGGCAGATTTCTTTCAGTAAATTTGATGTGAGATCCCTTACTTCGTCATGCCTCATGCATACGTAACCCCCTTTCTTGCACACCATGGCGTGGTCAATGTCGTAGGATGAGCCACACACTCATTGGGAGGGCAAACCTTCTACTAGCCAACCATACCTTAGAGCAATGGCATCTGTGAATTTTTGTTTATTAAGGCTGAAACCTTTTGCCTTTATTGGTAACGTTGTTCGCCAGTTTGAGGCGCCCACCTCTTGCGCTATTGCTACTTTTTTCAAGTTCTCTGGCAATTGCAACATCAGTTGTTGAAGTTTATCACTTTGGGTGTGCGGTCGTTCTTTCGTAATGGACCGTCGAATCCTGTTTAATTCACTTGGTGCATTCTGAGCTATTATGTGCTCCGTGAGGGCTGCCGTGAGCTTGACTGAGTTCTGATGTTCGGTGGCAGCAAGTTCCTCTGCATTGGTCAATCCCATTCCTCCCAGTCTCGGTGGTAATGCAAGGATTGACCTTTCTGTTGGGGTTAAGTGAAAGTGTTTCATTAATTTTGGAATAAAAATGACGCTGATGGCTTCTTCCAGAGGGTAAGGGAGGGGTCCGATATCAGGGATAGTGCGCATCAGATAATTCCAGCTATGCTTGACTCCATGGGTGAATGCTGCAAAAGCCGCATGTGGCTCTGTGTTAACCCACTCATTTACCTTTCCCGTTACGTACTCTGTCTTGAAGTCAAATTACGTATCAGTAATACTACATTATGCAAAAACTAACATTTTAAAAGATCAGAATCACATTGAAATATTACACGGCCGTTAGCAGAGGCGGGATATATGACTGCGAACAACTTCATATTTTTCCCGCCTCTGCTAACGGCCGTGTAATATTTCAATGTGATTCTGATCTTTTAAAATGTTAGTTTTTGCATTTTGTAGTATTACTGATACGTAATTTGTCTTGGCGTGCCTTATTGTGGGTAAAAATAAGTATAATGCATATTAAATGCATCCTCCGCAAGCGTGAATTTGCTACCAGAGTTTAACAGTTAATTCATGTATATACTTCTGATAAACTTCCTACGTGCTTATGTTTGAAATAATGGATGTTTGTATCTTTATATAATTTAGCTATATGTCTTTCTCGTCAAAAACGGTCATCCCAACGAATATGAATAAACTCATTTAGAAATACATCATTTCTTCAGGACGAAATCGGACAGGTTTGCAACAAACAGTCAATCAGCTGTAACTCTTGAGAAGTGATTGGGGCATCTCTTCTCAGCTGGGAAAAAACGCACTGTATCAAAAAATTCTTAATGGCCCACTTACTATACCCTGACACACCAAACTTTACTGAGTATTTCCATTGTCAAATATTACATACTTGTAGCTTTCATTTAATTTATTCAGTGAGTGTAAACAATTACCGATGAAACATAAACAAAAAACAAACCGGAGCAGCAAACTTGAGGGTGATCGTCTTGGAATACCAATGTCAAAGTTACCCCACCACGGTGAGCGCTTGTCAGTGGAAATGAGCAAAGACGTAAGTTATCACCCAGAGTGTCACCACGCCTTCATGCTATGCTTCTCACCATTGTCAGAGATGTTGGCTATTTTTCAGAAGATTTATATCATTTTTTATTTTTGTTTTTGGAACCATAATGTCTTTTAAGTGAAGTCTTTAGGTGTTGTGACAAAAATAGTCCATTTGTCTTATAAGGCTGAGATAAAGGTGATTGATAATGATAGTTTGGGTGGATATAAGATCGATTATTCTTGTTTGGATTTTTTCCACCATATTTCGTCCTTGTCGTTATCCCGTCTAAACCATTAGAACTTTTATATGCATTGTTGAAGCTTTTCCTAGTGCACCGCAAGAGGGATGCTTCCAGTCAAATGAGAATCTATAACAAAAAAAAAATAATATACATCTGTATCACCATTTTTGTATATAATTCATTCCATAGTTTAATTTTCCTAATAATTCTAACCAATTTTCTCTATATATCTTTCTAAAATTTTGTATTTATTTTCCACATGCTTCACTGAACGTAATTTTGTGCATCAACAGGAGGCCAATAACATCGTATAATTACTAATAATAATCGAGTAACACAGATGCTGGCAGTAAGAGAGGCGTAGGAGTAATATCTGGCGTTAACGGGTGATTGTATGTGGTCGGAACGAACGAACGAACGAACGCCAGGCGGTAAAACACTGAGGGAGTAACCGATCGCCAGCTGAGTCTCCTCTGACATTGGCCTGCCACCATTATCACCGCCGCCTCCCCGCGCGAACTTGGTTATTTGGAGGATGTCTGAACATGTATTTGCTGTGGTCAATAAGCCATTAACCAATCTATCTATCTATCTATTCAACCCTGAGTGTAAGATGCACACAGCTTTATTCAGAACGTGATATTGATGTCTGTGAAATGTACAATGAGAGAGAGAGAGAGAGAGAGAGAGAAAAAAAATGTTCACATAAGAAAAATAGACAAACACGGAAAATACAGATATGGAAGGACAGACAGACAGAGGAAAATACATCATACGCACCAATCTAATCATACTTGGGGGGATGGGGTATATTCTCCCAATTAACAGCATGATTGTCAGCATTGTATGATTCTCCGTTAACAGTACAATCTCTTCGTGTTGTATTTTTGATGGGATATTATGGTGTTATGGTGTTATGGTGTTATAGTTAAGTATTATGGTGTTGAGTGATATGGTGACAGTGTTATAGTTAAGTGTTATGGTGTTGAGTGTTATGGTGTTATAGTGTTATGGTGACATGGTGTTATAGTTAATTGTTATGGTGTTATGGTTAAGTGTCATGGTGATACGGTGTTATAGTTAAGCATTGTGGTGATATGGTATTATGGTGTTGAGTGTTATGGTGTTAAGTGTTCTGATGCTATGGTGTTATTGTGATATGGTGTTATGGTTAAGTGTTATGGTGATATGGTGTTATAGTTAAGTGTTATGGTGATATGGTGTTATAGTTAAGTGTTATAGTTGGTGATTGTTGGTGTATAGTTGGTGTTTTATGGTGATATGGTGTTAAGTGTTATGGTGTTGAGTGTTGTGATATGGTTTATAGTTAAGTGTTATGGTGTTGAGTGGTATGGTGCATGTTCTTAAGTGTTATTGTTGAGCGTTATGGTGCCATGGTGTTAAGTGTTATGGTGTTGAGTGTTATGGTGATATGGTGTTAAGTGTTATGGTGTTGAGTGTTATGTGTTAAGTGTTATGGTGTTGAGTGTTATGGTGTTAAGCGTTATGGTGTTGAGTGTTATGGTGCTATGGTGTTAAGTGCTATTGTTGGTGTTGGTTTAAGTGTTATAGTGCTATGGTGTTAAGTGTTATGGTGTTGAGTGTTATGGTGATATGGTGTTAAGTGTTATGGTGTTGAGTGTTATGTGTTAAGTGTTATGGTGTTGAGTGTTATTGTTAAGCGTTATGGTGTTGAGTGTTATGGTGCTATGGTGTTAAGTGCTATGGTGTTGAGTGTTATGGTGATATGGTGTTATAGTTAAGTGTTATGGTGTTGAGGGGTATAGTCTTGAGTGTTATGGTGCCATGGTATTAAGTGTTATAGTGCTATGGTGTTAAGTGTTATGGTGTTATGATATCAAGCGTTATGGTACCAGCGTTATGTCACCAGCGTTACGTCACCAAGCGTTATGGTACCAAGCGTTATGGTACCAAGCGTTACGTCACCAAGCGTTATGTACCAAGCGTTATGGTACCAAGCGTTATGTCACCACGTTATGAAGCGTTATGCCAAGCGTTACGTCACCAAGCGTTATGGTACCAAGCGTTATGTCACCAGCGTTATGGTACCAAGCGTTACGTCACCAAGCGTTATGGTACCAAGCGTTACGTCACCAAGCGTTATGGTACCAAGCGTTATGTACCAAGCGTTATGGTACCAAGCGTTACGTCACCAAGCGTTATGGTACCAAGCGTTATGGTACCGTGGTACCAAGCGTTACGTCACCAAGCGTTATGTCACCAAGCGTTATGGCACCAAGCGTTATGGTACCAAGCGTTACGTCACCAAGCGTTATGGTACCAAGCGTTATGTCACCAAGCGTTATGTCACCAAGCGTTACGTCACCAAGCGTTATGGCACCGCGTTATGGCACCAAGCGTTACGTCACCAGCGTTATGGCACCAAGCGTTATGGTACCAAGCGTTACGTCACCAAGCGTTATGGTACCAAGCGTTATGTCACCAAGCGTTATGTCACCAGCGTTCGTCACCAAGCGTTATGGCACCAAGCGTTATGGCACCAAGCGTTACGTCACCAAGCGTTATGGCACCAAGCGTTATGTTACCAAGCGTTACGTCACAGCGTTATGTCACCAAGCGTTATGGCACCAAGCGTTATGTCACCAAGCGTTATGTCACCAAGCGTTATGGTACCAAGCGTTATGTCACCAAGCGTTATGTCACCAAGCGTTATGGTACCAGCGTTACGTCACCAAGCGTTATGGCACCAAGCGTTATGGACCAAGCGTTACGTCAGCTTATGCGTTATGGTACCAGCGTTATGTCACCAAGCGTTACGTCAGCGTTACGTCACCAAGCGTTATGGTACCAAGCGTTATGTCACCAAGCGTTATGGTACCCCAATCATCGATACACCATCCCTTATAAAACATAACCTTTGACCCCTAATCACCCTACCTGTGTGACGTGTGTAAGACCCAGGTGATGTATAGAGTCGTTTGGCTGACGCTAATTACCTGTAATCTGTTGAATGTTTGTAATGTTTGTGTATTTCTTTTTTTTTAATGTTGTTGCTGTTTTGTTGTTTTAATGTTTTATTTTGGTTGTTTTTATTTTGGTTGTTTTATTTTTGTTTTTTTTCGTTGTTTTGTTGTTTTTCTTGTTGTAAAGTTATTGTTGTTGTTTCAGTGATGTTGTTAAGGTAATTTGAACTACCGCGATATTATTTTGCTTAATAACCTAGGTGTTACATAGATTTTACACAGGTGTTACATAGATGCTACACAGGTGTTACATAGGTGTTACACAGGTGTTGCACAGATGTTACACAGGTGTTACACAGATGTTATACAGGTGTTACATAGATGTTACACAGGTGTTACATAGATTTTACACAGGTGTTACAGATTTTACACAGGTGTTACATAGATGTTACACAGATGTTACACAGGTGTTACATAGGTGTTACACAGATGTTACAGATGTCACACAGGTGCTACATAGATGTTACACAGGTGTTACATAGATGTTACACAGGTGCTACATAGATGTTACACAGGTGCTACATAGATGTTACACAGGTGTTACATAGATGTTACACAGGTGTACATAGATGTTACACAGGTGTTACATAGATGTTATACTGGTGTTACATAGATGTTAAACAGGTGTTACATAGATGTTACACAGGTGCTGCATAGATGTTACACAGGTGTTACATAGATGTTACGAAGGTGTTACATAGATGTTACACCGGTGCTACATAGATGTTACACAGGTGTTACATAGATGTTACACAGGTGTTACACAGATTTCACAGGTGTTACACATGTTATGCAGGCGTTACATAGATGCTATATAGGTGTTACACAGATGTTATGCAGGTGTTACATAGATGTCACACAGGTGTTACATATATGTTCCACAGGTGTTATATAGCATACAGGTGTTACATGTTACACAGGTGTTACATAGATGTTACACAGGTGTTACATAGATGTTACACATGTGTTACATAGATGTTACACAGGTGTTACATAGATGTTACACTGGTGTTACACAGATGTTACACTGGTGTTACATAGATGTTACACGGGTGTTTCATAGATGTTACACAGGTGTTACATAGATGTTACACAGGTGTTACATAGATGTTACACAGGTGTTAATTGGATGTTACACTGGTGTTACATAGATGTTACACAGGCTACATAGATGTTACACAGGTGTTACATAGATGTTACACAGGTGTTACATAGATGTTACACAGGTGTTACATAGATGTTATACAGGTGTTACATAGATGTTACACAGGTGTTACATAGATGTTACACAGGTGTTACATAGATGTTACTAAGGTGTTACATAGATGTTACACAGGTGTTACATAGATGTTACACAGGTGTTACATAGCTGTTACACAGGTGGTACATAGATGTTACACAGGTGCTACATAGATGTTTCACAGGTGTTACATACATGTTACAGTTGTTACATAGATGTTACAGAGGTGTTACATAGATGTTCCACAGGTGTTACATAGACGTTGCACAGATGTTACATAGAAGTTACACAGATGTTACACAGGTGTTATACAGATGTTACACAGGTGTTACATAGATGTTGCACAGGTGCTACATAGATGTTACACAGGTGTTACATAGATGTTACATAGGTGTTACATAGATGCTACACAGGTGCTACACAGGTGCTACATAGGTGCTACACAGGTGCTACATACGTGCTACACAGATGCTACAAAGGTACTACATAGATGCTACACAGGTGCTACATAAGTGCTACACAGGTGCTACATATGTACTACATAGATGCTACACAGGTTCTACATAGTGCTACACATGTGCTACATAGGTGCTACACGTGTGCTACATAGGTACTACATTGATGCTGCACAAGTGCTACATAGGTGCTACATAGGTACTACATAGACGCTACACAGGTGCTATACAGGTGCTACATAGATGCTACTGATATAGGTAGTACATAGGTACTACATAGACGCTACACAGGTGGTATACAGGTGCTACACTGGTGGTGGTGATTGGTGGTGGTAGGCAGGTGGTGGTGGTGACGGGAAGATGGTGGTGGTGGGCAGGTGGTGGTAGCGGGAAGATGGTGGTGGTGGGCAGGTGGTGGTGTGACAGGAAGATGGTGGTGGTGGGCAGGTGGTGAACGGGAATATGGTGGTGGTGGGCAGGTGGTGGTAACGGGAAGATGGTGGTGGTGGTGGGCAGGTGGTGGCTCAAGGGTTAAGTCATCGTCGTACTCAAGAGGCCAAATTATCGTACTCTAGGGCCATGTCATCGTACTCTTGTGGCCAAGTCATCGTGCTCAGGGGACTATAAGCACAAGGGGTACACGCCATTATTAAACAACATCTTCCCTTGAAGAGAGTCGTCGTGTTTCAACAGTTTAAACTAAATGAGTCCTGAGGGACACCGCAGTACAGTACTTAACGGGGTGGTATGGCGGACATCACCCCGTTAAGTACTGCAGAATTAAAAGGAAGATGTTGTTTAATAGTCCTCAGGAGGCAATGTCATCGTTCACAAGGGGTTAAATTATCGTACTCAAGGTGTTAATATCTTTTCACAAGTTAACTTTAGAAAATCATTTAATGATATGAAGTAGAATAACTGTTATCATTCTTGGTCTAAGAATTATACATAAAAGCATTGCATTTTGTATTGTTTTACAAATGACAAAATACAGTAATACTTTATTGACAAAAGTTATTGAAATTTGAAAGCTTAGGAAAACATGTAAGTATTTTATTTTTTCCTCGATTTATTTTATTTTATTTATTCGAGTTTGAGTGTTCTTTAATGTTTATTGTTTAGAAATGTTTCTCGTGTTTATATAGTTATCGTACAGATGACAGACGAGTGCGAAAAGTTGTACAGGAATGATAACAATTGACTTACTTCCTCTCCCTCCCTCTGTCTATCTTTATTTTTGTTTCCTCGCTTCTCTTGTTTCTCACTTTATAATTTTCCTTTATTTTTAATCTTTCTATTCATATACTTCTCTCTTTATCTTTCTCCCTCTCTCTTTTTCTCTTCTCGTAGCTCTCTCTCTGTCTGTATGTGTCTGATCACTATATAGTAAATTATAAATCATTTACTCTTATCGTTAACAAATTGTAAACCAACAGTATTACATTTTGAAACTGAATTTTGCTGTATTTTCCCTTACTGTACCGTTAGTATAGTATGGACATATGTGTCTGTAGCCATCACGCACAGCTGTCCAGTCTCTCCCTATATTTCATGTAGACTGCAACAGTGACCAGCCTGCTGCCCCTGTGAAGCAAGAACAGAAGTTTGTTTTTGTTGCCAGTTCAGAATTAATTGTCACGTGTCATTGTTTTTATAGTAGTTGAGGATTAATTGTGATGTTTCGTTGTTTTGGTGCTGATCTGGAAATTAATTTTCATGTTTAATTGTTTTTGTCTTATTTCAGGATTAGTTGTCACGTTCCATTGTTTTTGTTGCCAGATAAAGAATAATTGTCATATTGAATTGTAATTATCGGTAAATAAATACCACCGTAACAGACAGACATACACATTACAAACAAACATCACAGCTCACTATAACCATCACAAATATCACTTTATCCAGCACAATACCTTTAAATTAATAATGTTTAATGATGTTTAACGTGTAATAATATCCTTGTGTTTACGTCGGATCATTTCATTACGCTCTGGTTAACGCGGGAGTTGAAATAAAAAAGGGTGAGGAGAGAAGGTGGTGCGGTTTCCTCGGTAATGAAAGCTCTTATACATTAACACTATTCACAGTTCAGTTTAGTTGAGCCGTGACACCTGTATGAGTAATTGATATACCGTTTCCAGTGGGTGTTGTGTCAGCTGTGAGGTGTAAACTCTTTCTTTGTTGTCCTGATTGGATTTCGTTTAATCGTTTTGGGTTATTTATTTATTTCTCAGTTACAGCAGTTAGAGTTACAATCCTGGTTGACTGATTGACTGACTGACTGACTTACTGAGAGAACTTTCTTCGCCATCCAGCACTAAGTGACACACACACACACAAACACAAACACACACACACACACGTTGCTCAATATAATAAGACTAAAAAAACTAATTGTAGATTCACTAATAACCTTCCATATTGACACATTACTCACACACACTGATAAGAACTTTCCTCCACGCAGCTACACGTCAGAGTTATCACAGATATATTCGCTAAGACCTTTATGCAGAGGTTGACATGCTGAGTGTGTCTTCCAGGACCATGGGAGTGTGAAATTTTACCGCTGAAGACTGTGTGGATTATGAGAGTCTAGATGTAGAGGGGGTGACGTGGTGATGGTGTGTGTGGGGGGGCGTGACGTGGTGGTGTGTGTAGGGGGCGGAGTGGTGGTGTGTGTGTGTGTGTGGGGGGTGGTGGTGGTGTGTGTGTAGGGGATGTGACGTGGTGGTGTGTGTAAGTGGGGTGAGGTGGTGGTGTGTGTGTGTAGGGTGACGTGGTGGTGTGGGTGGAGTGGTGGTGTGTGTGTGTGTGGGGGACGTGGTGGTGTGTGTGTAAGGGGTGTGACGTGGTGGTGTGTGTGGGGTGTGAGTGGTGGTGTGTGTGTAAGGGGGTGTGACGTGGTGGTGTGTGGGTGGTGGTGGTGTGTGGGGTGGTGGTGTGTGTGTGGGGGTGGAGTGGTGGTGTGTGTGTAGGGTGTGACGTGGTGGTGTGTGTGTGGGGTGAGTGGTGGTGTTGGGTGGTGTGTGTAAGGGGGTGGACGTGGTGGTGTGTAAGGGGTGTGACGTGGTGGTGTGTGTGTAAGGGGGTGACGTGGTGGTGTGTGTGTGAGGGGTGTGACGTGGTGGTGTGTGTGTAAGGGGGGGGTGACGTGGTGGTGGTGTGTGTGTAAGGGTGTGACGTGGTGGTGTGTGTGTAGGGGGGTGTGTGGGGACGGTGGTGTGTGTGGTGGTGGTGGTGTGGGTGTGGTGTGTGTGTGGTGTGACGTGGTGTGTGACGTGGTGGTGTGTGTGTGTGAGTGGTGGTGTGTGTGGGGGGGGTGACGTGGTGTGTGTGTGTGGGGGGCGTGACGTGGTGGTGTGTGTGGGGTGTGACGTGGTGGTGTGTGGGGGGTGACGTGGTGGTGTGTGTGGGGGGGCGGACGTGGTGGCGTGTGTGGGGGTGTGACGTGGTGGTGTGGGGGTGTGACGTGGTGGTGTGTGTAAGGAGGGTGTGACGTGTTTGTGTAGGAGGGGGGTGGTGTTTGTGTAAGGGGGGCGTGACGTGGTGGTGTGTGTGTAAGGGGGGGATGTGACGTGGTGGGGGGATGTGACGTGCTGGTGTGTGTGCGTGTTTACAGTAGACAACATAAGACTTTTTCTTTCGTTCCCTGTAAAACATCATACAAGTCATCGATGATTCCTCCTCTAAAAAGTTGATCACTCCCACCAGACCACAACACCACACACCGAGCTTTCATGAAAACAGTGTAGGATAGTTTCTTACGTTCCAGTTCATGAAATTATATTTTTTTGGTATCGATACTTACAAACATAAGCTAAAGTACCAGAATGATTTACCATTTACCAATAATAAAAAAGAACGTTATAAGATTTTATTTATTTTTTTATTTCTTCGTAATGTCTTTGTTTTCTGATCTTAACCTTAGGAGAATTTCTTTAGAATTCCAGAAAAGGAGAGGAGTTACTTTTAGTGTTTTCTGGAGGGAGGTGGTGAGCATCATGCACAGTGCGTATGTTAGGTCAGTTGCCAGCAGTGTTTGTTGAGGGTGCGTGTTGCAGGCCGTTACAGAGTAAGTGTTCTCATATGCAGTCTATCACTTTACGTCGTATTTTTTGTTTACGTCGTAAGTCCAGCATCCATGACGGTTTGTGATCATTGCCAGTCTTTCTTCCCTCGTCGGGTTGGTTTTAAAGGTGCCTGGGTCACTAAACTTATTTACTGTATTCTGAATTTATTGTTCCTCCCTCCCTCCCTCCCTCCCTCCCTCCCTCCCTCCCGTCTGCTGGGGATGCACCCTTCCCTCACCTCCAACTGTCCCTCCTCCCCACCTCCCTCCCCACCTCACCTCCCTTCCCACCTCACCTCCCAATTCTCACCCTCCCTCCCCACCCCACCCTCCCTCCCCCACCTCACCCCTCCCCCTCCCACCTCTCCCTCCCTCCCCCACCCCACCCTCCCTCCCCACCTCACCCTCCCTCCCCCACCTCACCTCCCTCCCCACCTCCTCCCACCTCCCTCCTCCCCACCTCTCACTTCCTCCCATTTCGACTTCTCCCCATCTCTCCTCTTCTCCTCCCCACTCCTTTCTCCTCCTCACCCTTCTTCCTCACCCCCTTCCCACCTCACCCTTCCCACTCATCTGTCCTCTTCCCCACGTCTCATTCCATCCCCTCATTCCCACCTCTCCCCCCCTCCCTCCCTCCTCAGTTCCCCTCCCTCCCTCCCCATCTCCCTCCCTCCCCCATTTCCCTCCGCATCTCCCTCAGTCTCCCGCTAAAGGTGTCTTCATGAACTAACTAACTAACTAACAACAAGCAGGTGGAGTGTCCAAAACAGGATCCCCACCACACTAGGGACGCCTGGAGTGGTAGTAGGGGAGGGAGGAGGGGGTGGGATATAAACACTTGGGTCTGTCTGCTTCCCACAGTTGTTGTCCTGACTCCCGCCCGCTCGCCTCGTCTTAATGTCTCACTGACTCGCCAGGAATGTAAACCCTTGTGTTCTTCGCTCTGCTGCACGTTTTGTTTTCCTGAGATCCTGGTGAAAGCATCCTAGCACGCTGCTCCTCCTCTGTAGTTTAGTTCCTTTTGATCTTATGTTTATCAAGTTGTTATTTTATATTGCTGGGAAATTTATGTGTGTGTGTCTTGGTGGCTGTACTGCTGTTCCTCTTGATATAGGTGTTGTGATGTCTCCAGGTGATTGATGTCTCCTGGTGATGTCTCCTGGTGATTGATGTCTCCAGGTGATTGATGTCTCCAGGTGATTGATGTCTCTAGGTGATTGATGTCTCCAGGTGATTTATGTCTCCATGTGATTGATGTCTCCAGGTGATTTATGTCTCCATGTGATTGATGTCTCCAGGTGATGTTACTGTTGGTAGAGGAGACGCACTAACCATCTTGGGGAGTGTTCTAACGTACCGTCTTTGATCTGTCGGACTGAGCCAAACAAATCATCTTTCTTGGAATAGGAATAAAAGGAATCACATTCTTCCAGATTCAGAAATATGACAATTCCAGATACAGATTTAAGCTAGACAGAACAACACGTATATATAATGTTACCTTCTTATTACTGTACGGCACAGGTGAGGAAATCATAATTAGTGATCAGAGATGGCGGTGTCACTACAGGTAAATTAATTCTATTCTCTTAATTAACTTCAGGTAAATTAATTATATTCTCATAATTAACTTCAGGTAACTTAATTTATTCTTTTAATTAACTTCAGGTAAATTAATTCCTTTCTCTAAATTAACTTCAGATAAATTAATTATATTTTCATAATTAACTTCAGGTAACTTAAATTTATGCTCTTAATTAACTTCAGGTAAATTAATTTTATTCTCTTAATTAACTTCAGGTGAGAGAATCATAACAAGTGAGCGAAGCTGAAGAATTTACACAGAAGAGTCAGTTTATTATTCCTGGACGGGGAGTCAGACACACACACACACACACACACACACACACACACACACACACACACACACACACACACACACACGCTAAGAATGTCATCAGCAACAGGCAGTCATATGAGGCTTGTCAATTAAATTCTCTTATAACTGTGTCTTTTATCTAGCTTTCCGAAGATGAGTATTGAACTGACTCTTGCCTCTAGTGTTAATTTCTCTGTCAGTTTCTCCTGTGACGCACGACTTGTGAGACACCCTGTACTCAATATGACGCACGACTTATGAGACACCCTGTATTCAATTTCTCCTATGACACACGACTTATAAGACACCCTGTATACAATTTCCCTACGACACACGACTTATGAGACACCCTGTACTCAATATGACACACGACTTATGAAACACCCTGTACTCAATATGACACACGACTTATGAGACACCCTGTACTCAATATGACACACGACTTATGAGACACCCTGTACTCAATATGACACACGACTTATGAGACACCCTGTACAATATGACACACGACTTATGACACACCCTGTACTCATTATGACACACGACTTATGAGACACCCTGTACTCAATATGACACACGACTTATGAGACACCCTGTACTCAATATGACACACGACTTATGAGGCACCCTTACTCAATATGACGCATGACTTATGGACACCTGGCCACTCCAATATGACACATAAACACAGAGACACCTGTACTCAATATGACACACGACTTATGAGACACCCTGTACTCAATATGACACACGACTTATGAGACACCCTGTACTCAATATGACACACGACTTATGAGACACCCTGTACTCAATATGACACACGACTTATGCGACACCCTGTACTCAATATGGCACACAATTATAGAGACACCTGTTACTCAATATGACACACGACATAGACACCCTGTACTCAATATTATGACACACGATTTATATGAGACACCCTGTACTCCAATATGACACACGACATGAAACACCCTGTGCTCAATACTGACACATGACTTATAGAGGCCTGTATAATATGACACGACTTATAGGGCAACACCACAGCCACTCAATACTTATTTTGACATAAGGAACACCTGTACTCAATATGGCACACGACTTATGAGACACCCTGTACTCAATATGACACACGACTTATGAGACACTCTGTACAGCTATATAGTCAACACCGAAACACTCATTACCGCCATGCTTCACCTCTGTCCTGGTGTTCACAAACTTGTCAATGGCGGCCACCTGCTATTCATTAGGGGTTACTGGGCATTTAATTTATTCATAGGTGTAGATTGTGTGAGGGGGGAGAATACTGTGTGTGTGTGTATGTGTGTGTATGATAATAACTAATAATAATTAACGGTTTATTAACAAATGAGCCATAAGTTAAAATTATACATATGACATAAATGGTACATGCATAATAACAAAGGGAGACAGTAATTTACCAAGGGGTTTCAGTATTGCTATAGTATAAACGTGAGATTGGCAAGGAGTGAACACACAGCTCACCTACCAAATTGTTCATAATTTTTACAATGGTTGGAATTGGACTGAACTTAGAGCTATCAGTACGTGGTCGTGTGGGCTGGATGCGGTTGTAGCGTCGAAGGGCAATTTGCGGGCGAGGGATCTCAGGTGGGAGCAG